GCCCGGCCGCCGCTGTCTCCACGCTGCCCGCCGCGCCCGGGGGCAGCGTGTTCCCGGCCGGCGGCGGGCCCCTGCTCACGGGCGGCGCGGCCGTGCACATCTCTGCCGCCGGAGCCTCCAAGGCCACCCTGTACTGCCGCGTCTTCCTGCTCGACGGTACCGAAGTGAGCGTGGACCTGCCGGTGAGTGACGGAGCCGGTCCGGGCCGCTGGCACCCCGGGGCCCGCGGGGCAGTTCCCTTCCCCCGATGCGCCCTTCTGGGGCGCTCCCCTTGTACCTCTCCGGGATCCCCTCCCCCTTCTGCGCGCACTCCTAGTCCTGGTTCCCTCTCGGGCCACCCCATCCTGGTCTCTTCCGGGGGGCCCCATCCCTGGCCCGCGCCCCCTCAAGTCCCCGCCCCCTGGGGGTGACTGTTGTTCCCCTTCGGTCCCTGGGGTTCCTGCAGCGGCCTTGGTGGTGCTGGGCTGTTGTTCAGAGAATGTTAAAACAAGGCGGGGCTGCCCCGGGGTAGCCTGCTTGCCCCCACTGACTCGCCACCAGGCCGTGGTGGGAAGGCAGGGGAGGGAAGCCTCCTCGCCTGCTGGTCGACAGGTGCCCCAAGTTTGGGAGGGAGTCAGGGGAGTGTTTCTGCTCTCTCCAGTCCCCATCTGGGCGCTCCCCACCCCCTCATCCCATCCTAAACAGCCCCTCTGGCCCGCTGCCTCACAGGGGGTTGGGCGACTTGGGAGCTAACTCGAGAACCGACTCTCGCTGATCGGGTCAACTTTGCAGCGGCGGAGCCCCCTTCCGGGCCGCTGGGAGGCGGCCCCCGGGTGTCCCCGGGCCTGGGGCGCCGGACTTTCCCCGGGTCTGTGCGTGGAGCCGCGGAGGCACCCCAGGGCGGCTGCGCCGCGGCCTCAGCCCGGGCCACCCGCCCACAGGTGGTTGCTCCCCGCCCCCTGCAGCGGAGAGCTCGGCTGGCGCTGCTGTCCCCGCCAGGGCGTCCGGCCCCCAGCGGGTCTTTCTAGCCCAAGGGGCCAGATCTGATCAGATCGAATCCGCCCAATAATGGGGCGCCTACTGTGCACCCGGCGTTGCGGCAGACGTTGCCTTTGGGAATCTTTGGGTGTGACTGAGGACACCGAGACGGTTGAGCTTTAGATGAATGTTACAGATCGTCCCGAGGGTTTCAAGCGGGGGCGGGGGGTGCGGAATAACATACCCGGACATCTAAAGAAAGCATTCAGACCTTCTCGGGTGGGGGAAATTGGAAATCAGGAGAGAACTGGCTGGGAACCTGTAAGGGTTTTAGATGGAAAAATCAGAGCCCGCCTGGCCTGCGGTTTAATGTTTCCTTGTGTTAGGTTTAATTTTGAGACAGTTTCAGTTTATGGCGATTTTATTTTTGTGGTTCCTGGTGCTCTCCATAGGATATCATTTTGTTACGATAATACCCTTCGGGGGCCTTTTTATTCACGGAAAAGGAGCCAACATTCCAATGCTCAGAGCAGTTGTCTTTAAAATAGTATTAAAATGTTACTGTTTTTCCAAGACCGGGCTCTCCAGCTTTTTATTCAGCTGGGAGAGGAGGCTTGAAAAAGGGGAGGGGGGCGGGCCGAGCAGAGTGGAGGAGAGGTGAGTGGGTTGCTTCTGGAGCGGGCAGCTGGTGTGTGGAGAGGATGTGGCGCGTTCTGCATCTCAGATCTGCGAAAGGAATGCTCTGGTTGGGAACTTTGACAACGCTCACTGCTGATGATTTTCTTGTCTGTTCCCCCAAGATGATTCGCTTATAAAATGTATTGCTTCTGTCAGGTTTCTGCGACAGGCTTAAGTGGTGTTTCGGAGATGAAAAATGCAAACCCAGTAAAAATGCATGCGTGGTGAATAGACCCAAACAGGTACCCAGATGAACAGGTTGGGATGCGAAGGCTGACTTACCTCAGCTGGTGGAGCCCTGGCCCAGCGTGGGGGAGGCAGGTTTTGCATCCTAAAGGTTTCTTCACTTTATTAAAGGCTACTTGACAGAAGAATTCACTCCGTTTTCTTACAATGGCAGATTCCCCCCCCCCTTTTTAATATTTATTTCCTTGTTTTTGGTTACATTGGGTCTTCCCTGCTGCTTGGGTTTTTATCTAGTTGCAGAGAGAGCAGTGGGGGGAGGGGGCTCCTCATCACTTGCAGCGTGCCGGCTTCTCCTTGCCGTGGCTTCTCTTGTTGCGGAGCACAGGCTCTAGGCGCAGGGGCTTCAGTAGTTGTGGCATAGGGGTTTAGTTGCTCGGCGGCATGTGGGATCTTCCCAGACCAGGGATTGAACCTGTGTTCCTTGCATTGGCAGGCGGAGTCTTATCCACTGTATCACCAGGGAAGTCCAATGGGATGCCTTAGGATGTTATTTAGTGAACGTCTAATTTTATTTATATAGACATGCATATATGTATATACGCCACCCAAAGACAGGTCTAGAGCAAATGCTGGCTTTGGTCATCTGTGCTCTCGCTTGGGGAAGAAAGATGGAGAAGAATCACCAGTGAGCACAGCTCATTGACTGAAAGATTTATTCGGTGTTAAAACTGCATCACGCAGTCTCCTACAGTCATCTGCAGAGTTTCAGGGCCAGTAATTAACTCTCAGAGTTACAGCGTGAGCTCCAAGCAGCCCAGTCTCCATGAAGCTGTAGCTCGTGTGTTCCTTCTCAGCCCCATTTCACCAGGCTCACTTTTTATGCTGTCCTTTTTTGGGATTTAGTCCCACCGGTCATTATTCTCGTCTCCTGCATTCCTGAATTTTTACCGCTTCTTGGGCCCTGGGATGGCTTTGTGGCCTGGCACACCAGATTTACCTTTGACCGCCATCTCCATAAGCTGGATTTTCTGTCTCCAGTCACTTGCTCAGGCGCAAAGCACCCTTGCCAGGCTAACTATGGCTCTTTTGTAATTAAAACTCTCTGGTGGTGGTAGCGTCATGCATTCTTCGCTCAGCATACTAACCGTGCTTAAGCATTGTCATAAGCTGTTTTATTAGCCCTAGTCAGGATGCCTGTGTTCCAGAAGTGCCTCAAACACAAGGCCCTCAGTGTGATTGTGCTGGGGCACCTTGGTTTTCAGCTGGGCTGTGGACCCAAAGGTGAATGAGAGGTGGCCTTGAGGCCCTTGAGAAATACAGGTAGCCATGTGTCTTTTTACTGTAAGTGATGCTGAGCTCACAGGATCACCAGATAGGGCACTGGGGATGGGTGAATTGGGAGGACTTCCTGGAGACTTTGATGCTTGTGGCTCTAGGATCTCAAATCCAGTGCCCCGTATGCATTTTTAGACTCCCTGTTGTTTCAGGGAGTCAGCCACTTCTTGGCCATGCCACAGCCAGCTGTTATATATAACAAAGGAAGAAGCAGATGTAATTGTCTTCTCCAGTGATGCTCCCCTGATGGAGCCGGGAACCCCTCTCCCCAGGTGGTGGGCCTTGTTCTCTGGCACACCTGTGTGTTCTTAACCTTTACTGTGCATCAGGATCTTTGGGGGGGAAAAAAAAATCCATCTATAATGCACAATCTGGAGTGGGCTTCCTGTGCCATTCCAGCTCCCAGGGGAGGCCTTGGCCCAGAATACAGACCAGCGTGCCCCCGCAGAGCCGCTCCTCTTCAGAAACCTGGGTGCTGGCTCGGAAGGTGCGTCCCCCTCCGAGGCCCCCCCTGCCAGGCCCAGCCCTCAGGTGTGGTCTGGCCAGAGCAGGGCAGGACTCCCCCGGCCTGCCCCAGACTCTTCCCTTCTGTTAATGCTGCTGAAGATCCCATTAGTCTGTTTGGCAGCAGCACCCGCTGTTGACTCATATTAGCTCTCTGTTGACTAAATCCCTGGCATCGCTTTTGCTCGTGCGGCTGCTGCTCAGCCCCGTCTCCCCCCTCCCCTGCATGCGCAGGCTTCCAGCAGTTCTGTGCGGAGAGCCGGGAGGGGTGTGGCTGGCTGGTTAGCACTCCCTCCCGGCCCTGCAGGGCATGCCTCCTCGGCCAGTAGGGGGTTTGGCCCAGCTGCTCTCACTGTCTCTGAGCTCCGTGTGGACTTGGGTGGTGCAGGGCAAGCGTGGAGGGTTTCGGGGTGGGAAGGTGCACGTTTGAGTTGTGCAGTCTGGCTGTGCCATCCTTGAACCTCAATTTTCTGGTCTATGAAATGGGAGGATTATGAAAAGGCCTTAGGAAGCAGCAGGGTGCTGAAGGGTTGCTGGTAGGCTGTCATCTTACACACATCTCTGTGCCTCCTCTTTGGCCTGTGAAAAGGATTGGGAAATTTTCTAGAAATGAACATTAAAAAAAAAAAAAAGGGTGGGAATCCCTGGTGGTCCAGTGGTTAGAACTCTGCGCTTTCACTGTCAAGGGCCTGGGTTTGATCCCTGGTCAGGGAACTAAGAGCCCATAAGCTGCGTGGCTTGGCAAAAAAAAAAAAAAAAAATGCCAGGAAGGCTAAAGGTTGCTTGGCTCTCCCTTATTAGAAATTGGAAGCTGGGTGTAGTGAGAGATGCTTTTTAAAAGTTTCACTTTGAATGAGAAAAGAGTGCTACCCCCACCCCCACCCCACTCCCTGGTGGCTCAGATGGTAAGGAATCCATCTACAGTGCAGGAGACCCAGGTTCAGTCCCTGGGTCCGGAAGATCTCCTGGAGAAGGGAAGGGCAGCCCACTCTAGTGTCCCTGCCTGGAGAATCCCATGGACAGAGGAGCATGGTGGGCTATATATAGCCCATGGGGTTGCAAAGAGTCAGACTGAGCTACTAACATTTTCACTTTTCAACCCCTGACTTACACCCCTGAATAAAAAGAAAAATGCTGGTTCTTAGAACTGCAGGACTGGAACCTCAGACCCAACAGAATATACATGATACAACATGAAGATCATATGTCTAGAAGGGACCCTAGAAAACACATATGCACCCATCATATGTATGGGACACAGAGGCCTGGGGATATAAATTGACTCCCTTTGTCACTCAGTGAGGACGTGGCAGGTGCATCTTTGGGAACCGGTCTCGCCTTTGGAGATGTGTAGGATCAGCAGTAAGGTGGCTGGCCTGAGTCTTAACACAGCATCATGGCAGGGGGCCAGATATGTTCTCGATATTTGCCTAAACAATGGGGAACTCCAGCAAAAGGGTTCTCTAACTTCAGTGTACACAAAGAGTGCACCTGGGATTTTCTTGTCTCTCGTTCAGCTAGC